CAAGAGGCAGCCAATCAGTGATTCTCTCATCACTGATGTTTCTATCTCTCCCTCTCCCTTCCTCTCTGAAATATACATACATGTATGTATATACACACATACACATATGTATATATATTTAAATTTAGCAACGAAAGGCCAGGACTGTCTCCATCCCATTGGGCATTTGGTACTCTCACACTAGGAGCCCACAGAGCAGACAGGCGGGTTCGGGGCTCGGGCTTCCTGTCCGGAGAGGAGCCTCGCACTTGAGGAAGCCGCCCAGAGGGGCCCCACCTTCACTTCCTCCAGCGCTACCTCTCCGTGAACTTTCAGCCTTTTTGGTCACTGGAGCTATTTTTAACTTCCGTAGTTGAAGAAGATGCAAAGCTTGCCACTCATTAGAAAGAGGCACTGCCTGGTTACCATGAGGCCACAGGCCTAGAATAAACATTCCCGAGAAAGACGTAGATATGGCCGAGCGACGGGAAGACGCTCGAGGTCACTAACTGCCCAGGAGCGTGCGACCCTGCATCACAGCGCACGTGGAATGAAGCATGGAGGCTGGGGGCGATAAGGACACGTATGCAATACCTTCATCAATAAAGAAAAAAAAGAATGCAGGCGGACCAGCCCTAGGGAGGATGTGGAGAAATCGGTGGGGAAGGAAGTTGCGTGGCTGCCGTGCAGTCTGGCGCTGGTCCTTGTACACGACCTGCATTCCCCTCCGAGGTGAACCCCCGAGAACCCAGAGGCAGGCGTCCCAGGTGAGGAGGTTCCACCGGGACATGGCCAGGGGGACACAGCCACGAACCCCAAGCCTTGCCCTGGAGGTGGCTCCCCCAGGCTGGCCTGGCCTGTGTGCAGGGCCAGTCCAAGGTGCTGCAGGACGCTGGCGGGGCAGGGGGGGGTGGGGAGGGGAAGCTGCAACAGGCCTGAAACAGTGACCGAGCAATCATCAGTAACAGCAGCTCAACAATTCCAAAGGTTTATTTCCTTAAACTGATATTACACAGTTAAACACAACTGGGGAGGGATCGCACAGATCCCTTCTGAAGTAGACTGAGTCGAGCGCTGTCTCCTGGAGAGCAGGGCCGGCCGGGGACGGACCAGGAGGCACACGGGCACGCGTGGTGCCACAAGTGAGGGGCAGGAAGGAGGCCCCTCCCGCGGCGCCAGCCTCCCGGCAGCCCTGGAGTCCAGCCGACCATAAAGCAATAAATAGGAACGTGTCCTGTGCAGCAAGGAAAGAACAGTCACAGGGCTTCTTCCAAGTCCAAGAACAGGGTAATTTCAAGTAGTATTGGGAGGAACACCCATAGACTTGCTGGGTCTGTGCTGCAAACCTTAAACCCCTGGCCGGGTGCCAGGACTCGCCCAGGCATCCCCCGAACTCTGGGGGTGCACTCGAGGGGGCGAGGCAGAGCTGGGCAGCCTGGGGAAGCCCCCTCAGCCCAGAAGGTGGGCCTCCCTGACCCCTCAGATAGCAGCCGGGACCTGGGGAGTGGGGGGGAAGGAGGGGAGGGATTTGACACCAAAACCGACTGGGAAAGCCAGATGGGGAGGTTTTTGCACAAAACACCCCCTCTCACCTGCCCCCCATCTCTGTGGCAGGAACCCCACTCCCCTACAGGTGGGACAGCAGGACACCCAGCCACGCAGCGTACCTGCTGCCACGCCCCTCCCACCTTCCAGAACAAAACGTCTAAACACTATGAGTTTCTTCTTTAAACAAAAAAAGAGCTGCAGAAAAATAAGACACATTTGATGAGTAAAGTGTGAAAGACTGCGGCGTCTGCTCTGGTTCAGAAAGCTCGGCGCCATACTGCGTGTCCCTAAGAGAACATTAAATAAGACAC